CCCGTACTCACCCTTGCTCTATATAAATAATCCCCCCCAGTTGCTGAAGAAGATGAAGCGGATCCTGCTGATGAGGAGTTCTTCCAGGAGCAAGCCGGCTACGATGAGTTTTAGGGTTTCGGCCTAGTTCCCAAATCGCGCCTGTGTTGTTTGGCCCAAGTCCTGCTTCCGCTTTCCTTTTGTAATGCAGTTGTGAGCTCGGGGTCTGTCCGCAGCCCAACATGACTGTACTCCTACTCTATAATAAAGAGACCTCTGTTGCTGTGATATTCTGTCTTCCTGTGATACCAGCACTGTTTCCTGGGACTGGTATCGATTAACAGGTTAATTTCGAGCGTCACGGGCTAGTTCCAGTCGGGACTAGTTCGGGGCGTGACAGGTCACCTGCAGCGGCGACTTGTCACGCGTCGTGGTGCTCCACCTCCCGGGCTTGGCCTCTCTGGCCCCGTGCCGTGGGGCACGCTCGGCGGTGTCGCTGGGGACTGGGGAGAGGCAGAGCATAGCACGGCGTCCCGCCCGCTGCCGCCGCTCTGGTCCCCGCTCCCCGCGACCACATCACCCTGCTCCTCGTGGTGAGCCGCGCCGCCCACCTCCTTTCCCGCTCGTCGCCCAACTCATTTGCCGTCGTCGGCGTGCTCCCGCTCGCCGCCGTCCTTCGTCGCTTCATCTGCCACCGCCGCTGCGGGCTTGCCTACCGCCATGCGCCACCGGCCGAAGGTGAAGAAAAAGGGGAGAGAAAGAGAGAGAAGGGAGAGAGGGAGGAGGAAGAAGGAGACACGGAGGACTGACATGTGGGCCCCACATGTCAGTGGGTCCACATTTCATTTGTGTGAATGACTAATGGGTCTCACGCATATTTTTTTAATTCGAAATGCCACCTAAACGCCACGTGTAAAGGAGATCCGGTCAATACCGCTACGTAGGCACCACGTCAGTAAAACCGCCCTCCAAAACCGCCAAGAGGGTCAAATTGTACCAGTTTTAAGAGTTTGGGGGTCGAGATATCCGGTTTTGTGGTTTAGGGTCACGGATTAGATTTCGATCACTTTTGAGGGTCACATAGTAAACTTATTCCCTGCTTTGCCCGACCTGTTGTTAGCTAGATAAGGCCCATAGACCAAGGCAGCCGAAGCAACATCAGACGGGAGCAATGAAGGGGCTCTTATGCCTGCTGTTTCTGGCCGATCAACCGGCCCATCTTCTCCGCCACGCGCCCACGCACGCACCAAGGGCGAGCGCTCCATCGGCCGCACACACGACACGAGCCGTACCTCGCAGAGGCCGCGTCGCCACGCGACGGGAGTCGCGCAGCTGCGTGCAAGATGCGCCGCACATCCGCCGCCTCCGACATCAGCGCGTCGCCACTGCTGCAACTGGAACTCGCGGAAAATCGCGCATGCCCACAACTGCCGCGGCGGAAAATCGCGGAAAATAGCTGGACGACATCTTCTTCCATAGAAGGGCTAGGGAGAAAAATATCATGGGAAGGGAGAGGTTAGACTAATTGATTTTCATTACCTAATCGATACCTCTGCCTCAGTTAATGTCTCTTCTCTTCCCATAAAAGCCTCCATCAAGATTAATTCATGGAGTAAGAGCAGACACATTTTCCTCTTCCTACCTAATCATATTAATCTCCTCCAGAACTCGGATGTCCAAGGGTTGCTGGTCATCGTGGAGGCCTTGTGTGCCTGTTGGCGGTTGCCGCTCTCTCGCCTGGATGACTAGACCAACGCTCTCACGATCGTGAGGTTTTCCTCTTGCTGCTACCACCGGCCGGTTGGGATCACCTCAACTTTGTTGTCCTGATCTCAGCGCTTATTATTTCCCCAATCTTCGAAGATGGTCAGATCACAAAAGTAATTTGCATATAAAAATAATTTACAAACATAAATATTTTTTTATCATAATATAATCATGTCAAATTTTGTTTTAAAGATTTAATTGTAACAAACACAATAGTATAATCGGATTGTAAATCGGGTAAGTAATTTAAGAGAAAATTTTATAAGAAAAAAGAAGGCATGCATGACCTAAAAGAAAAAAGACATGCATGTTTGTAGATGTGTAGTAGTACTTCTCTCACGTATGGCTGGTGTCAGACATTAAGCCAAAATCGAGAGACTTTTCGAAGTAGATTTTGTGTAATTTATAATGTAAATATAACTTTTACTCGCTTGCCATTGACAGATGTTGATTCCAAAACTATTCTGATAATTTTGTATCCAGTATTTTGCAATATTTTAGTAGTACCGACATTGTTGTTATTGTATCCGGCTTTACAATCAATTTCAATTATATTTCCGAGAAAACAAATATGGTGATAAACCCAAAATTATTTGAACATTTTTTGGCCGTTTGCATCCTTAGTGGAAGGTGTCAAGGTTATGGATACCCTATATCTAATAGTAATCGATTAAGCTTGGTAGGATCCACCATATGCCAAATCTTATATGGAACCATAACTTGTATATAGGAGTTCCAGATAAGGAAAGACGAGTAGAGTTCCATATGGCAACTATAAGGATTACTTGGGATTGTGTCTATATTGGTATCCATTGTTCTACTTGGACAAGGAACATTTATGGAGAAGAGGGAACACAACAGACTAACACACAAGCCAAGACAAGCCAGACATTGATATCGGAGATGAGCTTAGACAAAACCAATCTGGTGCCTAGCGCCATCTCTAATCTCGACGAGCTCATATTCGAGGAGGAAGACCACGTTGTCGACAACTACGTGTTGATTATCCATGCCGCCAAGTCGACGACAGCTAGATAGGTTAAATTATTGTACTTATGTGATTCAGATAAATATAGAGCAACACTGGCTTCAGTCAACAGGAGTAGTGTTATTGCCTATCAAATAAGGGGCTCAAAACTATATAAAATCCTTATCTCCATCTCTTTTACTTCAATCTCGCATATACCCTAGTACCGACGATCCCCATACCATGCAAATACCGAAGTCGTGACCTCAAACATCAATAGTGGAGTGCCAGGTAGGGGGATTTTGGTGCTTCAAGGTTTCGACGAGATGGGTTCAAGAGATGTATTCTGCAACAACCTCTATAAGTGTTTCTATATGCAATATTTGTCCGTTGATCATCTTTTTTAAAATCGCTCTGTCTTAAAGTCGGTCCCATCGTTCCTTTACGCTATTCTAAATGTGTATTAACCAAGCTATGTAATCGGGAATTGGTGTTCCCAACTTCACGGCTGGGGGCTAGGATTTCATTAGCTTTAGCTTGGTTTATTATAAGATTTAATCTATCTTTGTGGAAAAACAATTTTTCCATAAAGACAGCTGGGGGCTAGGAAGAGTGCCAGACTCCGATTGCTGAGGGCAGTTTTAGCGAGAGTACTCTTTTATTGTCACATGCAAATTCAATTTATTTTCAATTTTTAAATTCATATTACATTGTGTTACCCTTGAGCGTTTGCTCGGGGGCTATTTGTATCTAACAATTTGTTCTGAGTATTGATTTCAGGAAAGTCATATTTTAAGGCTTTGTCGCAGATTCTACAACTACTCGATTACTCGAGAACAGTTGGACGACTACTCGATTACTCGAGAACAGTTGATGGAGTTCGACAAAGATTACGGAATGAAGCAATGGTATACCCGCCGAGATGAAATTTCTTGACTTCAATTCAAATTCACTTGTGGACCGTTGATGTTCTTTGAATGATGTTGAGTACTCCATGTCCTGTCGATTGTTATCGAGAACGACCAAGTGTGCATGACAATGTTGACAAAGAAAACGCGGATGACAGCGTGAATTCATTTGAGTTGAAGTCGGTGGCTACTGTCATGGTTATGGATACCACATACCTAATAGTAATCGATTACCACCATATACCAAGTCTTATACGGATACCTCGTATATAGAAGGAGTTCCAAATAAGGAACGACAAGTAGAGTTCTATATGGAAACTATAAAGACTACTCGAAATGTATCCATATTGGTCTACCTAGTCATAATTGGACAAGGGACATCTATGGGTATAAATACAAGACCCCATAGAAGAAGTGGGAACACAACAGACAGACACATAAGCCAAGACAAGCCAGACATCGACATCGGAGATAGGGATGAAAACGGTCGGAAATGGTACAATATTTTATTATTTTTTTCGAAAACGAACGGAAATGGTCGGGAAATTTCCATATCTATGAATTCATCTATTTAGTGCCAACTTCAATGCCACACTAACAGAAATTAAAAAAACTAAATTTTGAAAACGGTAACATCGGTAAAAATATTATTATTATATTAGCGGAAACGGTATCATTACGATCGAGAAATTTTCATACCGTTTTCACCCCTAATCGGTGATGAGCTTAGACAGACCCAATCTGGTGCCTACAGAGGCCGACAAGAGGGATCTAGCGCCATCTCTGATCTCGACGAGTTCATATTTGAGGAGGAAGACTACCCTGTCAACGACTACGTGTTGGTTATCTATACCGCCAAGTCAACGACAACTAGATAGGTTATCCCAATTATTGTACTTGTGTGATTCAGATAAATATAGAGTAACACCGGCTTCAGCCAACAGAAGTATGGTTATTACATGTCATACAAGGGGCCCGAACCTGTATAAAATCCTTGTCTCCATCTCTTTTACTTCAATTTCGCATATACCCTTATACCGACGATCCCCATACCATGCAAATACTATAGTCGTGGCCTCAAACGTCGACAGAAGCCAATAACAAATTAAACCACAATTACAACGGGAGAGTGTTTTCATCCTTGAAGAGATATCCTCTCTTTTTTTTCCAATTGTCACCTAAATAGTCATAAAAATATTTAAAAAAAATCGACAAGATATATTAATATAAAATATATCACTCCGCAAACATACCAGTTCAAATTCCACTTCTACAAGTTGTAACAAATATAACTGTAAATATACGATAATTATTTTCAGTTTAGCCTTGCATGTTTACATAATGATATACTTTATATTAATATATGTTATTAATTTTGATGACAGGTAAGAAACAAGTGGTGCCCAGGAGGGATGAGAATCCATCTCATGCTCCAATTACAACAACTGTTTCATCTGGGCACCCGCTATAACGATCATCATATCCAAGTAATCGGCACGTACTGCAAGGTTCTTTGATGGAGTACACACGAATTCATTGACGTAGCTCAACCCATTCCCATTTGCATCAGCACATTTTGGTGGTGGTGGTGATGGCCACGGGATACTGATGGATGGAATCAGCCCACGGCCCGTCGGCGTCGCGCGCCGGCAGCGAGATGCACTCCCACGCCGCGCTGTTGCACTTGAACCCCGACCCGAAGCAGATCATCCACACGCGGTCGCCGCGGCGCATGCGTCCCTTGGCCTCGACGTACGCCAGCTCGTACCACACCGAGCTGCTCGACGTGTTGCCGAACCGGTGGAGCGCCATCCGCGACGCCTCCACGTCCTCGTCGGCGAGGCCGAGGCCGCTCTGCACGGCGTCGATCACCGACCGGCCGCCGGCGTGGATGCAGAAGTGCTCGAACGCCGTGCGGAAGTCGGGCACGTGGAGTTTGATCGCCTTCCGTCGTCGGCTGCCGGCCACTTTGCGCGCGAGGAGTGACAGCGCGTAGAGCAGCTTCTCCGACAACGGGAGCACGCGGGAGCCTACCGTCGCGATGTTGGCCTTGAGCATCTCGCCGGCGACGGGGACGATGTCCTTGGACAGGTTCACCCCCAGGTTGCCGTCGCCGTCCTCCTCGTGGTACGCGCACCGGTACGCCCTGTCTTCCGCCGCGTTGAGCGTCCGGACGATGTGCGCCAGCCGGAACCGGGAGGTGGTGGTGGTGGCCGACGACCTCGACGTGGAGAGTAGCATGGCGACGCCGCCCATGCGGAACAGCGCGGTGGGCAGCAGCATCGATCGGCTCGTCCCGGCGTAGTGGGAGAACGACGTGGTCTCCGTCGACACCACCAGCGCGTGCGCGCCGCGGGGCGCCGCCGCCTGCAGGAGGTTGCGCGCGACCTCCACGGCGATCAGCCCCGCGCTGCACCCCATCCCGGAGAGGTGCACGGCGCGGACGTCCCCACGGAGCTTGAACCTGTTCACCACCATGTCCGCGAACGACGGCGTCGGGCTGAAGACGCTGCAGTTGGTGACGAGGACGTCGATCTCCTCGGGGCGGATGCGCGTCCTGGCGAGCAGGTCGCCGACCGCCGCGAAGACCACAATCTCCGCCTCGTCGCGGGCTTCTTCCATCCCCGTGCGCGGCGGAAGGTAGAGGTTGCCACGGGGCACGTACGTCCGTTCGCCGAGGCCCGACCGCTCCATCATGCGCGTCACGAAGCGGAAGCTGCCGTCGTCGATGTGCGGGCTGAGGCGGAAGTGCTCGGCGAAGGTGGCGAATGGGAGGCGGTTGCTCGGCTGAGGCCGGAAGCAGGCGTAGTCGACGAGGTAGACGCTGTGTGGGCGGCGGACGAGGCGAAGAAGGGTGGCCACGGCGGACGGGACGACAACGAGCGCGGCGAGGAAGAGGTGGACGTGCCGCGCGGCGCCAAGCCGGCCAGCGAGGAGCTCGCCGGGGCCGAGCTGCGCCGCTCTGAGGAGGACGACGATGACGACGACGGCGGCTGCCACAACCGGCACGGCGATGGCGGCAAGCCGGTACGCCGACTTGAGGTGCTTGCTGGCGCGGGGCGGTGGCGAGCTCATGGTCATCGTGTCGAGGGGCGTGTAGAGGAGCACTGGACTTTGGGTGTACTACGGACGCGTCGTTGTGGGGGTGGGACTATGGGAAGGTGACGACAATTGGGGTTGGGGGACGAGGGAAACAGAGGCATTTTAAAGCTCGCAGCCGTCCACCTTGTCAAAGGAGTTTCTACTAGAGCCCTAGTTCAACTCCACGTCATGGAATTTCTCCAATGAAAATTTTAGATTCGTTAGAATCAGACAATGTCGTTATTCTGTCGGCGCGTCCTTCTTTGAAACTTCGTTTTATGAGATTTTCTCTTGTTGGACGGTTGTAATTACTTCTTAGGTTCAGTCTGTCAATATCGGGTTTTTCGTCAATTTTCCATAAATTAACCGTGTCGTTGTAAGATTTTTAGATCCAGTTTTCCTTATAAATTGAATCAACTCTCTTCTTCTACAGAGAATTGCAGGAGCTCCCTGCCCATTCCCTCGAAATAAAAGCTCACAGCGGGGAAAATGTTTGGATTCCTCGAGGCTCCTCTCGTTTATTTAAAAATCATCTAACATATAGATAGTTTTTTTTCTCGATGTGTAGATCGAATTAAACTTCACTGATTTTTAAGTGATATTATTATACTCTAAATTATTGCTTTGTTTGTTTTTTTACATTTATTTGCATTGAATTTTTGAAAAAAGAAAGGTACAAAGGGACGCCCGAGGGATTAGAATCTGTTTTCTCTCGTAGTTGGCCATGCACATTATGTGCAATGGCGCTGTGTCCTTCTCACTGTGCACTTCAGCCATAGGATTGTGCAACGCAATTACAATACAACATCCTGATGAAAATGTGTCTGTACTTCCTCTGTCCTATAAGAACTTGATTTCAAATTCCCACTAAAACTATCCCCACCCAAATAAAATAGAAACAAAGCACCAGAGTGTCTTCTCTCTATGACTCTATGAGAGATGATACAACAAGGAGATATCCTCTAGAATGATGAAAAACCTTCCCTCACTCCTTTCCCATGTAAGGGCAGTGGCACTATTCGGACTGCAGTATGCAGCCGCTGCGTCACACAGTACTCACACAGCTGCTTCTTGACACGGCTATGGCGCAGCCGCAACCATCATCAGCTTCCTAGTTTCTAGTGCCGCCAAACAGCCCTAGCATTCTCACTGTCGTCGGCAGCACCAAGAACACTCCTCCATCCATGAGGGTAAATGCAAAATAAAGTGTATATAGACGCTTCTATAATTTAATTGCTTGTGCTACATTTGTCTAACTTATGTGAATTGAAAATCCGTTTGAACAATTGGTTTGAAATTTCCGGTATAATTCCAAAAAATTGGTGACCCCAAAATATTGTTGCTCTTCAGTAATTTGAAGGTCCATTGGACAGTTTCCTTTTGTCCTATAAATACACCGATCTCGCTATCAGGGTATTCTAGCTTTTAATAATGTTATTTATGGATTGATGTTGAAAAGCACAATGGTTGTGTTGTATCAATCCTTTCACTTTGTGTGTATCAAGGATCAACACCAGCACCAATCATGTGGAGAAAACATGTGTTCGATGTCTAACTTGCATGCACGTGCAATGACATGCGTGCTCACATGTCACATGTCTCCATCGTGATTAGTGAATAAAAAATTGTACTTTTATCACTTAACTACAGAGATAAAAATATGAGACTTAGAGTGGTATGAGAGAAACGCAAGGATTTTTAATTTCATCATGTCGCCACAACGCCCACCACTATCATCACTATGTTAAAGGAGTGAAAGCGGGAGCGTCAAAGGTAAAGGAGTCTTCTGTTTCAGGGAACGTCACTTACTGCCGTTTGTTTTGCTGTATCAACAGGGCTTTGTAAATATTCCCTTTTTTTTTCTAATGCTCTATTAATACAGGAGTACTACGCAAGCTTTTGTCCTTCTTTAGAAAAAGGTAAATTATAAAAACCATCCCATAAGTTATTTAAAATTTGACACTACATCTCATAACTCATGTTGTTACAAATATACACCCCTCTACTCAGTTTTGCATAAAAAGAAACACCCCGGTATGTACGTGCTTAACGCTAACGTAGAGTCACCACAGACTGTACCCAAATCAATCTTATACAAGTGTTTGCATTAGACTTATTATTTATGTTTCATTAGTATTTTTATATAGCAAAACTCAATGTGACAATGTTTAACCTCTCATCAGCAATTATATTTGTGGAATCTCTAAGAAATGTATCAAGACTATACTCCAAGAAGTATTTAATTTTGGTAAAGACCATATTGACGGCTCATAATTTATGAAAACATGTTGATTTGATTAAGCACTTCTGTGTTAAGGTGGTTTTTAAATAAAACTAAGTAGGGGAAATATTTACAATAGAATAACTTATGGATGGAATGTTAAGTTTCAAGTGATTTATTGGGTGATTTTTACAAATTTCCCTCAAAAGAAATGAGACCATTAGTTGCTGGATTTTTCACAATTTGGTCCTTTTAAAAAACTTATTTCGCAAATAGACCCTAAAAAACTTATCCCAGAAATGTTCCTTTTTGGAGTGCTAGAGTCGCTGGCGCGCTGTCCAATGGGACGGCGCCAGCCTCCTGCCACCGTGGCGAGGCGGCGCTGAGGTGGCAGGGGGAGCGCGCCAATGTGGCTCCCCCCCATATTTTAATTTTTTTTGATATTTTTTTCACGCTTAGGAGCACACAAGAACCAACTATAGAAAAAATAAATTCAAATGGACAAAATATGTGACTTGTAGAATTTTTCAAAGCTCTACCGAAAAGCTTCTGGCCTCAAAAACACAATCTTGCAAGCGGAATTTGGAGGTTCTAATTTCGCCGAACCCAACAAAGTGGGGAGAATCGCATGTAACTTTTTCTGTAGATGTCCGTGGATGTCGCGCCCAGGGATTCGACAGCCCGAATCACCTGCTATCTGTGCATTTAACCTCTGGACAGGCATCAAGCAGAGTACACAGATGACAATTTGATACAGTTCCACGTCTTACAAAAATATAAAATAAATTCAAAAAAGCAGAGGAAAAACTAAAGACCATCTAAACTTTATCTTCTTAGCAAAGAGAAGCTTCCTCCATACTCCATAGGCAAAATCTTGACGGCTAGCGCAAGCCTAATCTTCATAGAACTCACCATCTGACGAATTCTCGGCTTCTAGGGGATTGGGAAAAATAAAGCAAGACTGAGTACAACCACCGTACTCATCAAGTCATACCAAGGGGAAGGTATGATGCAAGGGTAATCAAAGGATTGGCTCATAGGATATTTTGCAGTAAAAGTAGCATTTATAAATCATAAGTTGAAAGCAGTAAAACAGTAGATAATTAAGTAGTATTAACATCATCACTGTCCAACGCTAAATCACGTTGCGACAGGCCCAACCCAAAACCACCTGAACTACACCAGTTCATTAAGTCAAATTATTAAGGTGAGACTAATCACGGTGAGCTGGTTGACTGCCCAATAACCGTGGGCACGGCTATTCGAATAGTTTTACTCTGATCAGAGGTGTACAACATTACCCACAAGACACGATTCCGCACATGAAACCATGCCCCGAAGTACCGCCACGATACTACAAAGGGGGAAATCGTGACAAAACCCTACATATAACCACCCCTAACCAGCACACCCACCTCCGGTTTCACCCCCATCCATATAAGGCGATGGGAAGTCCCCGCTCGTGCCTAGGTAAATCCGGAAGCAGCATAGACCACCTCCCGGTCCATCCATACTCCATCATGCCTACCCTTGCCAATGGTGTGTTAGCTAGAAAAGATTATACTTAAGATCTAGCCTGGAGCCCATCTGGCTTGTAGTTAGTGCGAGTATATCTTTCAGGGATTCCCGAGAACCGGTCCTTATTATCATGGGCACGACCACCAAATAAATCATGCATGTACCCACGATCCACCAAATAAGCATATTTTAATTAATTAACCATATGCCAAGATGGCACAGCATCATCATGAAAATTAAGGACTAAAATATAGTGAATCCCATTGTGAGCTAGTTGATCTAAGCATGGCTAAGCATACCTAAACCAATCATCTAGTCAAATTATTATCCCAGGCTATCAATGAATCAGGGTAAACAAAGGCTGAGTATGGGTAAATTCCATCCCACATGACATTATAAAATAATGCAATTTTAAGAGAAAAGCATGGTTTTTGCAAATAGGCTCAATATGATCAATGATATCTGTATGACTTGCCTTTCTCTTGAGCTGATGGGACCTCGACGACCACTTCAAAATAAACTAGAGCGTCGGAACTGCCGGAGTCTAAACGACAAACATGGCACACAATAAATACAAGCTAAAAAGCTACTGAAGAAGCAAAAGAAACCAATTTTAATGGATTCTAGACATTTTAACGAATTTACTGCGATTTGAATGGGTTAAAACAGAGCTCGGATTATTTAGTTATGAACTTTACCAGATGCTTTACGTTATTACTAATAACAGAAAAACCTTAATCATTTGGCAGAGATTAATGCCCAAAAGGAAAAATAAGATCAAAGGATAGATTGACTAGCAAGCGAGCCTCACGAGATAACGACTCAACGAGTCAATTCTACGTGACAGGGGATCACCCAAATAATCAACCGAAACCGGAGAATGGAACCGGCGGCTTTGAATGGCTCAAAACTAAAGAACGACTCAGGACGGACAAACGAATGAACCACAGGGGAACACCTCGTTCGAATGAACGAGCGAATGACTCAACAACGGCTGCGGCAAAACCGGCGGGCTATTGTCAACAAAATGCCAATTGATAGATCTCCAGGGCCTGATGGATTCAATGGTTGCTTCATTAAGGCCTGTTGGCCTATAATTAAACATGACTTTTATAATCTTTATGCTCAATTTTGTGAGGGTTCTCTGGTGCTTGAGAGTATTAATAGATCCTTTTTAACTCTAGTCCCTAAGAAGTCTTCTCCTGAAAAGGTAAATGACTTCAGGCCAATTTCTTTACAGAGTGTGGCTCTAAAACTTCTTACTAAGGTGCTGGCTGATAGGCTACAATCTGTCATCATTGAATTGATCCACCA